TGTACAATATATAGACACACTAATGGGCTTAGCCCAGACCTAACACAAATCCTAATGAAATAAGGAAATAAATATTTAAAGATATGCAAAAGATATATTCTTTCTAATATATATATATATATATATATATATATATATATATATATATATATATATATGGGTTTAAACTTCTCATTCAACAGAAGATCAAAATTTTTGCAACAGACTCATGGGGAGCCGTGCTTTCCTTTTTGCTTATTTTTTTAATTAAATAATAAATTTTATTTCAATATCTGTGTCTATAACAGAAGATCTCATTTGTTGCAATTGCATAAGAAGTGATTTCCCGTGTGTGTATATATATATATATATATATATATATATATATATATATATATATAAAAGCTGACGTGCTGCTCTAGTGGAGTTGAAGACTTATTCATCTTGGCATAGGATTTACTTTAAAAAGGAAAAATACATTTCCTCCTGGCAACTAATCTTTCAGTAAGTTGACTAATGAAATACCGGACTTGCTTCCTGTTGACACCTAATTTTTTTACTGTGTTTACACAACTGTAAGTCTTTTCTTTGTGGGGAGGTGGTTGATATGTTCTCAACACATGCATGATGATAATTGTCAATGACATTTTCTGATCTAACATTTGTCAGTTTTCAATAACTCCTTTTCATTTTATTTTTAAAAAATAATAATAAACCTGTTTTAAAGAGTGTTCTCTAATCCTAGAGTAGGTTTCATAAAAAAGCCAGAAAATAAGAATACTGTAAAAAAAGAAAAAAGAAGTTAAAGAACAAAGACCATCATTTAGGTGCTCCTTGTTTTTGCTTCATATATGCATTTCTGTATTCAAACTTATGTTTTTTAAGTTGCAAGAACCAAAGTTCTTGTATCTTTTTTTCATACAAGCTTAAGTGAATTTAGTTTATGTGGAAGAAATCAAAACAACCCCCATTGGCGCAATAATTGTTCTTAATTAATTTAAATCATCAAACAATTTCCTTGGCGATTGAAGTTCTGTTTATTGAAGCATCTTCTAAAATGTGGTTCCCTTTTTCACGTAGTCTGTTGGATCAGTAAATACAATAATAAGGAGGCCTAGTGATAGAAAGCTGATTGATTACAATACAAATTGTGAGGCTTCAATCACAGCAATAGAGGACGCATTGAGAGGTAACCTGAGAATCAAAGCTTTTTCTCATCTTCTCAAAGTTGAATATAAGCATGTTTCTATATACTAAAGGTAAACATGAAGGATGTAATTCTTGTATCTTTGAGAAGGAATTGAACAACCAGAAATGGCCAAAGGTCTTCCTGAAATGAGTGGGGTCAAGAATAGATTTTTGTAATCTTTTCTTTTTCTTTGGGTACAAATGGAGAATGTTTTCTTGGTCAATGAAATCGTTCAAGCCAGAACCACATAAAACTTAAACAGAAGAAAAGAAGCTGGAAGTCAGTGTTATTAACAATGACAAATTAACATTTGTTTGGGCTGAACAGGGAGGCAACATGTAAATGGGGAAGCATCACATACTTCTCCAGTTGCTGGGTAAGTGTTTGTTTTGGTTGGAGCAGGAGGTGCTGGAAGGGCATTTGCCTATGGTGCAAAAAGTAGGGGGACCCGTGTTGTCATTTTTAACCGCAATTTGGTAATGTAATATGCTATACTTTATCTTAAGAAGTCAAAAAGATCATTCTCTTTCTTATAGATAAATAAAAACCATTAATATAGCTTCGCTCACTGGCTTAAACTTTTGGATTTAATTGGTTCTTCACATAATTTCAGAATCTTGATATTACGGATTTGATTCTCACCGCTCCTCATTTAATTAATAATTAATCAAATCTTGTGGAGTTTGTTATCACAGATATGTGGACTTGTACATTGTCCACCCTTCAAGTCTAAAGGGTTCTTGGGTGAGAGGGCGTGTTAGAGATATATAAAAATCATTAATATAGCGTACCCACTGATTAAGCTTTTGAGTTGAATTAGTTCTTTAACATCTTATTTAAAACAATCTCATTTCTTTGTTTGATAGAGAAAGCAAAAGCTCTTGCAGACGCAGTTTCAGGGGAAGCTCTACCATACGAATTCTTGGATAGATTTTCCCCAGAAAGCAGGATGGTCCTAGCAAATGTGTCTTCTGTGGGAATGGAACCAAATTCAAACGAAAGTCCTATAACAAAGGTTCTCTCTCTCTCTCTCTCTCATTCATTGTAAAAATAAAATAAGATACTTAATTTGATATGCTTCATGGTTTAATGCTTACTTTGGGTGCCTTGAGATCATATGAGCTGGTGTTTGATGATGCTTACACACCTAGAAATACAAGGCCCTTGCAGGAGGCTTCTAAGGCTGGAGCCATTGTGGTGAGTGGAGTTGAAATGTTCATTGACAGACTCTTGGCCAATTCCCGCTTTATACAGGAGGATTAGATACTAACCATCAATAGCTTCCAAGATTTTGACATCTTAAAATTTAATTAACAATGTATTCAGTCTTTTTCTTTTGCTATGCAGCTCCAGAAGATTTCATGCTCAAGCTTATTCTGGAAAAAAATTGATTTCTTCACATCATATTCCATCAGTAAACAAGTTGTTTGTTATCAAAAAAAAAAAAAAAAAAACAAGTTGTTGTCACCATCTATTTGTTACATTCTCTCTTGTTACTGAAAGAATAAACACAAAGAGATAGCCTTTTGTGAATGGCAATCCATAGGTCTCCAGGATCCTAAAGAGGAAGAGGAGAATGAAGCATGCAGGTTTTACTGGTTCATACTATTGTTAAAGAAAGCTAAACCGCTACAAAATTTCCATCCAATTGCACAAATTGAGCTGTGTTATTTTTAATGTAAAACGTTTAATGTTGAATAAAGAAAAATCAGTGTATAAATAAGCTGCTTGCTTACTTGGGTCATGGCATATTTTATACTTTTTTTTTTTTTTTGTAGCACTTGCTGCATAGGGTATACCATTTTCAGTAATTTCTACAATCATCCTTCACTCTTGTCCTGTAATCAAACTATGTTTTTGTTTCATCACTCTTTCTTTCTAATCTATATTTTAGTTTTTATTTTATCTACAATCAAGCTGAAGGAATCCTAGCTGAGAGCCTTATGTTGTCTCATTTTACCTCCAGTGTGATCTCACATGCTATAGTGAAAGGTATGTGTCTGTGTGTGTGTGTGTGTGTGTGTTTTTATCATTGTCTTCACATTTTTCTAAATATAAGTTGGACAAACTTCTACTGCACTTGATGTGGTGCAGGAAACTCAAAATTCTTAAAAGATGGAAAGCCTCCTTCATCCACAACCAAAATATGCCCACTAACATATTCTGCATCATCAGATGCAAGGTTAAGTGCGGCATTAGCATCATTGGGTTAACAATTTGCTCCATCTAGGAGACAAGAGTTGTGAACAATTTCCACAATTTGCTGTGCATCTAGATGTGGAATTGCAAAAGATGATATGCAACTGACTAGAACTCATGCCTCCGCAGCTCTGAAGCCAAAGATTTAACAATGCCTATGACAGCAAACTTGGACGCTGAGCAGGTGTGGTGGGCCATCCCTCCCTTCATTCCAGTGACACTGGCTGTGCTTAGAATGGACCCAAATCCATTTGGAATCATTACACATGCGGCATGTTTGGTACATGCCACAACCCCTCGTACATTTATGCTCATGAATGACTTTGTCAAATAATGCTGGGAGGAGTGCTGCAGGCTACTCTTGCATTATTGTACATTATATCAAGCTGTTTGTATTCAGAAATGGCAAAATCAACATGACATTGCACGTTATGGAATTAGCATTAGACTTTAGTGACTTCAATCTGATACCTCTCGCGGTTCAGATATGAAATTCAAGGACAACCAAATCTAAGTTAATGCAGACCCAACTCCCAACAAAAAATAAAATAAAATTCTAAAGCCATTTTCTTAATCAAAGTATTTCAATTAAAGAAAGTAGATTAGAGAGCTTGAATTGCTGTTGAAGTGGAAAGTAAAGTAGAACTTCCAATACTTAATGTTCTTCTTAATCATCATACAGAGAAATTTCGTCAAAGAATATGTAGTTATAATATGATTAATATTTCTAGAATAAATTGTTAGCCAACATTTCCCTGTTGCAGTAAGATAATTGTACCTTGTAGTTGAGATCGTTAGAACATAAAACGAGTAAAATGCACGTGAAAGTTGAAATTCTTCACTCCATACCCCAAATGACTGACCTGATAACATTGTCTTAGAATTGAACTCTGGACCTCTCCCACCCTAAGGGAGAATCATACCACTAGACCAAATACCATTTGCCTTTTTTCTTGTGTCTCGTTATTAACAGAACGCTTAATTTTAAATTGCGAAGAGCAAAACAAATACATTGATTATACATAAAGATACATATCTATTATCTTTATAAAAAAAGTTCAGAAAATGTACTGTTTTTAGGTCGTATTGAAAGTACTGTGCGCCTCCAAATTATATCCAGAAACTACGTACATGTTGTATTATTTTTCATCACTTCAGTTTGGTTGAGAATGTTCCTTAAAACCACGAATAAAACAAAGTTCCATATTTTGGGCACATAATACTGAATCACTGATATTCTAGAACGCCCATAAAGTGAGTGAAATATGGATGACCCCATGCAACATACTCTTCTTAAAGAAATACGCATGTAAGAAGTAAATATGGCGGGCAAGTTCTGGTTCTGGGGGCAGATGAAAAAAATGTAAAAAAAGTACCAATATGTCTGCTAAGGGAATTACTGTTTTTCTAATAATAACAATAATTCCAGGAATTAAAAGATAAGGACTATTAAAAGCAATATCAGATTAGAGAAATGCATAATTTGAGAGTAAGACATACAAAGAATGCTGATTTACAGAATTTCAATGATTTTATTAAATTTCATTGTGTAAAAGAAGGCACTTGTCGAGGGACCAATGCATAATGACGTCTGATACATGTCAGGAAAACAAAATCGAGTGATTCTGCACGCAATTCTTTTAGGAGATTAAGAAGCAATTGCTCTTGATATGAATTATCCCAAACTCACAATGGCAACTAAGTTTAACACTGACAAAGCTTAGATTAAAAATAATTATCGCAGAATAAAAACTAAGATATTTCAGAATATTCTAAGCAACTAGCATTTCAATATGACTCCCATCCAAGACCAAAAAAGTAACTCAACAAAACTATTTTCCTGCATTGAAGCCGCTTGACATGATACATACCAATAATCTAAGTATATGATTGCTATAAATATGACCAAACATGGCAAGTGAGAGTCCTCATCTGACAATAGCTGGCAGGGAGAGTAGAAATAGTTCTAGTCATAAGACTCCGACATAGATAGAATGATGCACAGAGAACTGCATAACACAAATAAATGAAATAGAAGAGAAAGTTAATTAGTTGAATCCACTGAATGCTTGAATCCCTGCGAATACTACGCTTACACCCTAAGTTACCGATTGAAAAAAGCAAAGAACAAGGCAACAGAATTTAATTAAACAAGTATTGTATTAGAGTAAAATTCAAAATGACATGACATACCAGTTCAAAAGGAGTGAGCGAGAACATATTCACCAGGTGCAATCTTCAACAAAGGAGAAATTATACCCTGTATCGCTTGCAATGACTGTTGAACCTGTATCTCCTCCTCAACAGACCGCTTAAGATTTCTGATATGATTCTTGAGAGCTTCAGAAGCTCTAATATCATCAGCCCTCATTTCAAGAACTTTTTTTGTCAAACCCATCAATAAACTCGAATATCTGGGAATGGTACAATACTTATGCAAGAACACCAAAAGTAACTCCAGCTTCTCCAAATCCAAATCCAAAACACACCTCAGCAATTTCTTCCTAGCCACCAATTCTTCCATCACAGCCAACACATTCCCAGGGTTTTTACTTTCCAACACAGACACCAAAGCTTCCCCATGCCTAAACTTGTTCAACAGCTTATCATGCTCGGCCAACTTCACCTTTTTCGGCCTCATTACCAAGTAATCTCCCTCAGAAGGTTTCTCTCTTTGCCCTCTTTGAAAATACCTAAAATGTGAAGGCCTCAAGACTTGCCTTTCAGTGTGCTCCACAGGCCTAATTCTCCAAAACAAACTTGACTCACTCACCCCATTTTCATTTTCGTTTTCGTTTTCCTTTTTTGTCTTCCTTTTGCCAGCATAGATTATCCCATTAGAGGTCCCAATAACCCTTGTAGAACAATCTGGGGAGTAACCAACAGACAAAAGAGGTGCAGGGAACCTCATGGAATGTGTAACCTTCATTGAGGCATAGTCAAACACCTTCATGTACCCATCCAAACCCACACTCAAAATCCTAATTTGATTCGATTCCTCCCCAGAATCCTTCCCAATTCGACCCACACAAATAGAAGTCACAGTCTTGTTGTGGCTCTCCATTGAAAACAAAAGCTTCCCGCCACCAATCAAATCCCAGAGCTTCACGGAGCTCCCACCGGCCGTCGCAACCATCCCTCCCGACGGCAAGAAAACCACATCCTCCACAGGACTCCCATGGTTCACCTCCATCGTCGATTTCGAATCCCTAACCCTAACGTCCCAAAGCTTGACGACATGGTCGTAGGAACCGGTAACGAACATGTCGGCATTAACAGGAGAGGAATCTCCGCACCTGACATAATCCCTATGGCCCTGCAATTCCAAAATTGGAGTCTCCTCCGCCACATCCCAATACTTGACGAGGGCATCATCGCTGCCGGAGATGAGGTGGAGCTTGTCGAGGAGCGGGAACTGGACGAACCGAACGGGGCGGGTGTGGGAGCGGAGGCGACGGAGCGCAGTGCGAGTCTTGACGTCAAAGACTTGGACGAGGCCGGAGAGGTCGGAGGCGGCGATGAGGCGGGCGTCAGAGCGGAAGGAGGCGCATGAGACGACATCAGAGAAGGAGGAGATAGTGGAGGTTGGGGTTAAGGTTTGGGAGCTGAAGAAGGAGAGAGAAGCAGAGTGAGCGACAGCAAAGGAGTGAGGTGGAGTTGGGGAGAAGGTGAGGGATGGGACAGAGATGAGCTTAGGGATTTGCTGAGTCTTGAAGGAAGACCAGTACTTGGATTCTGGGGTTTCCTTTGGAGTTCTAGGTTTCGTTTTCACCTTAGGTTTTACAGGGAAGCTCTTCGTTGTTCGTTGTTCCTCCATTGATGCCACTCACAAGAGATGCTATGCTTTCTTTAGTTTAGGGTTGAAAGTTTTTACGGGGAAGCTCTACAGGATGTTGACCTTCTGAGAAATCACGCCCTTCAAAAGTGGATAAGACCTCCCAAAGACTGCCTGCACACAAATAGCATAAGTGTCAAAGGAAAATGTCTCTATAAATTATATCACATCAATAAAATAGCTTAATAGAGCCAAACATAATACCTAAAAGGCTGTCCTATTCCAGCCTTCATATCAGATGGACTAATTCAACTTATTTAGTTCCAAGCCAAATTCAAAAGCAGCCAAGCAAAGAAAAAAATATATTCCTATTCAGTTCTGTCCAATTCATAACCTTCAAGCATACTTAGATATGCAATGAATACTTTCCAAGAACAAAAAAAATTGTAATTTCCAGACAAATGAAGGGTGTCTCTTTTTCATTGTGTTTGGTTGTGTATGAGATGACATGTGACAACAATTTAGTGTTCTGGAAGGCACTTTTCTCATCCAAATATAAATGTTCAAATTTCCTTTAGAACAAAAATAAAAGTCAACCATAGGAGATATAAGCCTTATTAATAAATAGGGCAACCTGCTTCATATATTATATCTTTCAGTGACAACAAAGTCGGAAAAGTAATTAGTAAATTTATAAAATGCATATGACCAATGAAATAGATAACTGTTATTCACAGTCGATTTTCTTAAGAGTTATCTTGAATTTAAGGGGGTGTGATTTTCTGTCTGTTTGGTTGTGTGTGAGGTGACATGCTGCAAAAGATTAGTGTTTCGAAAGTCACTTTTCTCATCTGCATACAAGCGTTCAAATTGTGAAATATAACCCAAAATGAAAAAATCAAGCTGTAGGAGAAATAAGCTAAATTTAAACATGTATCGAAGTTGTTTCTCTACTTAATTACAAATTTACAAGTAACACATGAATTTCAAAATAATTAAAACTTGAGTTCCTTATTATAAATATCAAACCAGTCTACATATAAACATATTTATAAAAAATTGATTAACCTGAAATCTAAAGTTTTCAATTAAAAAAATTAAAATTAAAATTTTTTAACTTTCGAAAATGCATGTTACAGTGAATGCAAATTGACTAATTAATACCTCTGAACATAATAAGACTTCATTCTAAGCTAATGGGTTGCTTCCTCTAGCGTCAAAACCTGGGCAATGTTCAACCTCACCACCTTTCTGCAACCAAGCCCAAATGAAAAGAAGGCATAAACACAAACACCTCATAGTCAAAAAAGAAAGAGAGACCCATTAAAGAAAAGCAGCGATTTTTACATCTTGGAGAGCATGTTGGGAGTACCGCCTGTGACCTTAGCAACGCAACGGTGTTCCTCAGCGAAGACGTTACGGTACAGCTGCATTCCTCAACAAAAAAGGAAAGAAAAAAAAAAATCAGTGTCTCTGTTGGTAACGAGCTACAGTGTCAGTGTCGCTAACCTCCACCCCAGTTTCCTTCACGCCTCAAACTATGCAAGCAAACCCCCAACCACGCCTTGCACTGTCGATGAAGGTTTTACTATTCCCACTCTTAGTTTATGCTTAGGTTTGGGTTTAGTCTTATTTTTGGCAACCAAACTTTAATGAGTAAATCAAGTAGGCTACCTTTGCATATAAGGTGGGAGTAATCATTTTAAAAAAAAAAACTTTTGAGATGTGCACGTAATAAAGATGAATTAATAAATATTAACAAATTAAAATAAGGAGAACCATGTTTGTCTCTCTTTTGGATTAGATTAGGAGTAGTCTCGTGATATTGAAATAAAATTTTAAAAAAAATATGAAATTCCTAAAATTTAAAAAGAGAAAAATATAAAGATATTTAGTTAGGATAGAATTTGATAAAAGATAAAAAAAAATAAAAAAATACAAATAGAAAAAATAGAAAAAAAATTGTGTTGTTGTAATTCTTTTAATTTTTATTTTCTGGTTTATCTATTTTACATCATGTAGCTTGTATTTTTGTTAATGTGATGTGATAAATAAAATATAAAATTAAATGGACGTAATTACAAATAAACAAATTATTATTATTATCCACTCGACGATCTATAAAATTAATTGTATGGCTTGTCATTCTTAACGGACAGAAGAAACCTCCCATGTTTCACTACATTAGATCTCTAGAAACACATTGAAAAGGTTAGAAGAATAATAAGCACATGGTTAAATACATGCATGAGTTGAATTGAATTAAATTTTTTGAAGAACTGAATCGAATTAGTTTAAACAGTTATGTCCGCTTCGGTTCAGTTTGAAAATGATTCGATTTGATTAGAAACCAATTCGGTTCAGTTTGAGAATGATTCGATTCAGTTCGATTTGAAACCGGTTCGAGTCGAACCTATTCTGAAAAAGAAAATTAAAAAAATAAAGTAATAAAATGGTTCGATTCGATTTAAAAATCGGTTCGGTTCTATTCAAAAAGGATTCGGTTCAATTCAATTCTTAAACTGATTTCTAAAAATCAATTCGATTCTTGAACTAGTTCTTTAAAAACCAGTTTGATGAACTAATTTTTAAAAATCAATTAATTTAGATGTGATTCGATTCAGTTAATAGTTTAATTTTTTAGTTTACACACCCCAACACATGGTTAACATTTTCAATGAATCCGATCTTCAATACCCAAAATTTGGCTTCCAAACCAGAATGACTCAAATGGCAAATTCATGTAAGCTCGCGGTTAGTGTCACCAGATGAAAATTGCAAATTATGGGCATATACAACATCCTAACTTCCCATTAGCAACATAAACCAGCCACATATGACGCTAAAAACTTAATAGATATCACGGATAATACCATTTTCCATTAAACCCAGATTATTAAGGCTAGAAGTGAAAGTAATCCTTGTACAAAAATTTTCGCTAACAAATGAATAATTTTACCATGGCTCTTCGCCCTCTTAATATACACCGATATTTCATTTAAATCGAATTGTGATGGAGATTGGTAATGAAGCTTCAAAAAGTAGAATACACATGGATGAGAGAAATTGATAAAAGATAACATAAAGCCTAAAATTTTTAGGAAAGCTCCTGCTCTGTTTCAGCCTTAAAAATAACCACTCACATTAACTTGCCCATGAAAATAACTACCCCGTAATACAGCAAGACAGAAGATAAGAATTCCCACTAGAATTAGCTGAAGTGACGTTCACATTCAGAATCAAACTATACAGTACACAATCATAAGTTGGTTACTTTCGCTTTGACTTTTTTGAGGACCTTCGGCTTTCCAGCTTTCTCTGTGCAGTTTCAAATTCCTCTTCAGACGGTTCTGGCATATGACCTCCACCATATTTTGAAACTAGAGATGAGAACATAGAATCAAACTGGTCCTTCCTCTCACATCGACGTTGTGATATAATAGCATACAGATCTGTTTCTGATTTCTTATTTGATCTGCAGAAGATTTAAACATGATTATTCCTACATTACAGAGTAAATAACATACGCCAAACCCTGCCCGATAAACTTACTTTGCCCTCCTTAAAGGACTAGTTGGTGGTTTGGTTTCTGATATTTTCTTTGCCCACTTCTTGTAGGCTTTTGTTTCCTTTAGTTCTCCTACAGATATGGAGAAGAGGAAAACAAGCATCAAGGAAATTGCCGAAAAATACAAGTAAAATATTTTGCCAATATTAATATGCTCAGTCTCTCTGCTAAAAGTAAAATAAATTTCCAATTTTTTATGGACTTGGAGATCTATTTGAAAGTTAAAAATTCTAATATCTATTTTCCAATAGTGAAACCTAGATCTAGAGCAAATGTCTAATTGAAATTTGGGCCAACAAAAGCTTGTATTATTCTTACCAGTAGCCATAGCCTCATCAAGAATATCCTTGAATCGGTGTGAGTCAAGTTTAGGATCCGAACACAACATTGAACAGAATAACCTGCAAAGCGAAGTTACTCCAGATGTCAAGCGGAAATCCTTTAAAAAAATGTCTCCTGCTCATCACAATGCTTTCTTACCTGTTCATATTACCCTTGCACTTCTTGTACAGACCAATCAAATCATTTTTCTCAGAGTCAGATCCCCTATAGTTCGCTTCAAACTCCTCAATATCAGCTTCAGTGACCTATTAGCGTGTATAACAAAACTACACTAATGAAAACAAGTATACCACAGGGCATCAGGGAAAAAAGGATCATATATTAAAACAAGAACCTTCTTGTACATTGCTCTGAAATACTCTTTAAGGTTCTGAACAACATCTCCTGCAAGGTCCTGATTTTCAGAAATAAATAAATAACAGTGGTGAATGTCCAGGACAATGCTAAAATATCCTGAAATGCTAATCTTTCATTCTGTTGTAGTGTTGTACAATAAAATTGTTACAATAAGAACAGTTCCCTCCAATAACAGTAAACAGATCATAAAGATTTACTTTGTATCTAGATATTGCAAATTACAAATTCATTATATCACGGCTTCATTAGTTTATTGGCAGCTGCAAATATTGAAACACTTACAGCATCATCAACACAACCAGTCTGATCATAAAGGGCCCGTTTTTCCTCATCCCCAAGAATTGAGATAACGTTTTGCAATTGCTGAAACTTTGCTTTCGCTTCCTGTAAATGAAGATGATCAATTACTACTGCAGAGATCTAAAATTTTAATAAATCGACGACGGCATAACAGGAAACATTAAACAAAACACCTCATCACCAGGGTTCTTATCAGGATGCAGCCTCAATGCCAACTTGTAGTATGCCTTCTTTATTTCCTGTTGAGACGCTGTTCTCTCTACACCAAGAACCTAAAAGCAATCAAGCAATAGGTCACTCTCCAAAATATCCTTGTTCATACATGACTGTGAATTAGTGGTGTTGATGCCATGTGGCTCGGAGAATCATAGGTGTTGTTGTCAAGTGACTCGGGTTTCAATTCATGTAATCAGCCTCTTACATATGCAACGTAAGGCTGCCTATGAGAAAGACCCACACAATCGATCTAACCTTCCCTAAACCCAAAGATATCAAATCAAACCAAAACCAACTCCTCTGAACAAAAAGAGGAAAAAAAAGAAAAAGAAAAAAGAAAATGGTTGTATAGTTGTGGTCCTTAAATGTCTATAAGAAGTGAAATTAGTGTAATTCGGTGTATAATGGGAGGGAGTTTGGGGAAATATATTATATAAGCCAACCATAACATTTTTACTTCCTATTAGAGAGATCTTATGATGTTACAACTTACAAATTTGCATTCATTCACTTCAAACATGTGTTGTCTCATATCAATAACTCTTTTTTTAACAAATGGTTCAATATGCGTAATGCAACCCTAGACAGGCAATGTAAACATTCATGGGTATATTCACTCCAAACATGAGTAACACAAAGAAAAACTCACCTCAAATCTACACACTACTCTATCAAGCTCTCAAGGCAAAAACAATACAAGGACCTCAGAATATGAAGAATCCAAACAAACACCACCCATGGGTAACCTTATTAACTAAGCTTATTGCTACATACCTGAACTGAATTTTACATACCAATATCTAGGCAATGAAATAAAATAAAATACAATAATATATTTTCGGCAAAACATAAAATGTGGTGTCGTAATTGAAGGATTCAAATAAACAGGGATACCTGGTAGAGGGTGTTGTTTTCTTCGTGATTGTGACGGTTGAGGTCAGATTCGATTTCCTCATCGTCGGAAACCCTAGTTCTCTTCTTTCCCATTTTTTCTGATTCAATAATATCAACTAACTTGGTGATGGTAACGGTGACGGTAGATATATATGTGCACGCTTAATTTAAATCGATTTCATGTTTATGAATAAATAAATAAATGTTTTTTTTTTTTAAAAGAGAGAGAGAGAGGAAAAACACAAATAGGGATTTCGCGCGCTCATCAATTCGTTCCCGCCATCATGTTCTGCTGCGGACTGGTTTACCGCACGATTCCAGAATCAAGTGGAAATGAATTAACATCTCGGTTTGACTCCAAAGTGAAGAGTTAGAAATATTAATTATTCATAAAATAAATTAAAGAAACAGATTTGAGGAAGTTTATAGTTTTTGAATTTCTTAAAATATTATAATAAAAATGTATATATCTATATATATTTTTACAATGTTTTTTTTTATACATCATTTTTACAATGTTAATATATAATATTCTTTGTTAATGAAACCTTTTTTTATTTTTTCTTATAAAATAAATTTCTCACTTATAGTAAATTTTTTAAGGGTTCGCTTTTTCTGCAGTTACTATGCAGTAAGACCAATACGATGTCATTTTGTGGTGAAAATTATGGTGTTTTTATAATTTTAATTTATTTCAGGATTATAATATTCTTTATATTTATAATTTTTTAAGATTTCAATACCAAAATGATTTCATTTTGGAAATAAATGCAGATAACTTAACTGCAGAAATATTTTTCTCAATCTTTAAATCAGAGTATACTTTAAAAGTAAAGTATAATAGTTTATGAAAAAAATTAAGAGTTCGTTTTTTCTGCAGTTACTGCAGATAAGTTATCTGTAGTAGGCCCACTACGATATCGTTTTGGGACGGAAATCATAGTGTTTTGTAATTTTAATTTATTTCAGAGTATTAATAGTATTTATATTTATAATTTTTTAAGATTTCAATACCAAAACTACGTCGTTTTGGAAATAGATGCAGTTGCAGAAACTTTTTTCTCAAAAATTAAAGGCAAAATTTGTGACATATCAATAATATAATATCCAGTTACAATAATATCCTCATAATTTTTTAATGATCTTTTTTTTATACATAATTTTTGAATGATCTAATTAAGTCTACAAAGGATGGAGAATAAGCGTGGAGAGAACGAGAGAGGTGAACTTGAGCGCTCATCAGAAGAAGATGATCAATTGAGGAAGAGTACCAAGAAATACAAGAGTGGTGAGGGTGATTTTAATCCTGATGAGGCAAGGGTACGTAGAGAGGAAGATTGGATTGAAAAGAGGCCTTCTTTCAGGGAAGCATTGCTTAGGCACAATGGGGAGTTTGAATCAGAAATGAATATGAAGGAGGACCAAAACGGTGATGAAGATGATTCAGAAATTATTTATGAACTTGATCCGGATGGGCGAACCAATTTCAAATTATCGGAAGAGCTGAAAGAAAAAATAAGGAAACCTTGGTGGAATACTCTTATTGTAAAGTTGTTGGGGAAAAAGGTCTCCTTGAATTTTATGAAAAAGTGGTTGGAAGACATGTGGGCTAGGGAAGGAAGAATCCATGTAATGGATTTGGAGAATGACTATTTTCTGGTCAAGTTTGAGATGAAGGAGGATTTGGAATTTGCTTGGTCTGAGGGGCCGTGGAGCATTTTGAATCATTATTTGGCAGTTCGTTCTTGGTCACTGAACTTTCAACCTCATATGGCCAGAATTGCTGCATGGGTGAGGCTGCCTGATATCCCAGTAGAATATTTTGCGTCAAATGTGTTCAAAGCAATTGGCAACTGGTTGGTTAAGTTTATCAAAATTGATGGCACTACAACAAGCATAGAAAGAGGGCGGTTCGCACGACTGTGTGTGGAGCTTGATCTAAGCCAACCGCCTCATAGTGAATACAAACTAGAAGGTCAAATAAAAAAGGTGGAGTATGAAGGTTTACATCTGGTGTGCTTTGAGTGTGGTACCTATGGTCACCGCACAGAAGCTTACCCTATTTTGAGAGCCAAGAAAAGCTTAGAATCAAATACAAAAAACGTTCAAGAAGCTCAACAAACGGTAAATGGTAAAGAAACCTCAGCTACTGAGAAAGGTTCTGATGTTGATATGGGAGGTAATCAAATCGCTCCAAAAGAAGGATATGAACCATGGATGATTGTCAATAGAAACAGGAGAGGTAGAAAACCGGCGGCCGACGATAGGAACAGAAGGGTTGACGGCGTTTCAGCAGGGAAGACAAGTGGAAGTTACCAGAACAATTCCAGATTTGCTGCCCTAGCGCAATCAAAGGAGGGAGTTACGGATGGTGCAATTATGACGTGATTAACTCGGGTGGTACAGCATCAATGCTTAGCGAAAATCAAGGAGAAGAATCGCATAATCATGGGCATGAAATTCGGGCAAGTAAACAGGAGAATAATAGCAATCATAATAAGGGGAAGACAGTTTTAATTGAAACGGAAAATCAGTATAAACTTGCATGGAAAATATTGATGACGGACAGTTGTATATGGCTGAGGACCCAATCAATAATGAACAATTAAAAGTTGCGGTTATCAGGGATCAAATTGTGATACATCAGCGTAGGCAAGCGCAAGCTAATGAGAAGCAAACGACGAATGCATCCTCCTTACAATTAATGCAGAATTCTGGGGAAACCTGAGACGAGTAGGATGGGGACGTCTGAAGATAGTCATATGGCAGTTGATAAGAGTAATGATATTGCAGTAAATTTGCACTTGGCTCATCCTCCAGATCCTCTTTCTGATCATGAACAGTTACAAAATATGGGAGATATTGACATGGTAGCAGTTGAACATGCTAACTTGAAAACAGATGAGTTGATGGAACGATTGGAGGTTCCAGTGAACAATGTCTCAAAACAGTTGTCTTAATGTCAGTCTTTCTCTGGAATTATAGAGGTGCAGCTAGTGGGAGACTGGCTCGTACCCTTAAAGTTCATGTGCAGAAACATAGTATTAAACTAGTAGCAATTTTCAAACCTAGGGCTTCTGGTGATCGAGCTGTAAAATTAGCAAAAAGCCTAGGTTATGATAAAGTAGTTGTTGAAGAGGCCTAGGGGTTTTCAGGTGGTGTATTTGGTTATTTTGGTGCTCTCAGTTTTTCAAAATTGAGACTATTGAACAATCAAATCAGTTTGTTCACGTCAAAATTATTAAAAACGGGGAATTGTTCTTCTTTCTTACAGCTATTTATGCTAGTCCCCGTGAAGAGAAGAGGAAACTTTTATGGCAAGACCTTAGAAGATTGAGTTCTCAGGTAGTGGATCCTTGGATTATGGGTGGAGATTTTAATGAGATAGCCCATTCATCGGAAAAGAAGGGGGGCTACTATAGATATCACAAGATGTCAGAAGTTTGCGGAAGTTCTAGATGACTCTAAAGTTATAGATTTGGGTGGAGCTAGTGCTTTCTTTACTTGGCAAGGTCCTAAGTAGGGACACTTGGACCATATTTTCAAGAGACTTGATCAGGTGTGTGCCAATGAAGCGTGGAGATTGAAATTCACTGATGCAAATATTCGGGTATTGCCTAGGATCCAATCTGATCATAATCCCCTTCTATTAGAGCTTCATGATAATCATACTTCTTTAGGGGAAAGACCTTTTAGATTTGTAGCAGCATGGCAGCAGCACCCAATGTTCAATCAGTTCCTTGATGAGCATTGGAAGTACAATGATACGTGTAGAAGTATGCTCAATAGATTGGTTCCTCCATTGAAACAATGGAACATCAATGTTTATGGGAATATTTGGCAACGAAAGAAGGGTCTCCTTAACTCTATTGATCGGGTCCAACATCAAAGAATGATAAAGGAGTCCCATTATCTGGCTATGAAAGAAAATAAGTTACAAGAAGAATTAACCAGTGTCTTTGAGCAAGAAGAGTTATTGTGGTTCCAGAAGTCAAGGGAGAAATGGATTGTTGATGGCGATAGAAACACTAAGTTTTATCATTTAAAGACAATCATCCGAAGGAGCACCAATAAAATTTTGAGGTTGAAGAATGAGATGCAAATGTGGGTTTCAGATCCGAGAGCTCTGCAAGATATGGTACGTAATTTCTATCTGAAACTCTTTGAACAGGAGGATTCAAATAGGAAATGGATTGCAACTGAGGATTGGTGGCCTGTAATATCACAAGATACTCTGCAGGAGCTTCAGAAGCCACATTCCAGGGATGAAATTTGTCATGTTGTGTTTGATATGGGATCTTTCAAAGCACCAGGAGCTAATGGGTTTCAAGCAATTTTTTTCCAGCATAATTGGGAAAGAATCAATGATCAAGTTTGTCAAGAGATTTGTTATTTGTGGCAGAACCCAGCGGATATTAAGAGAATTAATTCAACTCTCTTAGTTCTTATTCCCAAAGTTCCAGCACCAACTCAAATGAATCATATGCGTCCTATCTCTCTTTGCTCAGTTCTTTACAAAGTGCTCAGCAAAATTGTTGTTAATAGGATGAAACCGATAATGGAGAGGATCATCTCACCTTGCCAGGCCAGTTTCATTCCGAAACGACACATACATGATAATATCATTGTTGCTCAAGAGCTTGTCCACACTATGCATCGTATGAAAAGTAGGAAGGGCTTCTTGGCAATTAAAGTGGACTTAGAAAAAGCTTATGATCGAATCAGCTGGGGATTCCTTAGAGAGGTTATGTCAGAGATCAAATTGCCAAGTAATTTTTTAAATATTGTGATGGCTGTTGTTTCAACGTCTAATATCAATTTGCTTTGGAGTGGAGAAATATCACCTGAGTTTCAACCTTCTAGAGGTGTGCGGCAAGGTGACCCCATCTCTCCCTTCTTATTTGTCTTAGGAATTGAAAAGCTTTCCCATATGATTGCTACTGCTATTGGTAAAGGGGATTGGAAACCAATAAGGGTGGGCAAATGAGGTCCTGAAATATCCCACTTATTTTTTGCTGATGATTTGATGTTATTTGCGGAGGCCAGTGAAGAGCAAATGTATTTGATTGTCCATATATTGAATGAGTTTGCTTCTATTTTTGGTCTTCGTGTGAGTTTGGCGAAAACCAGCATATACTTCTCTAAGAATGTTGATGAGAATATAGCAGACAAGATTGCGGGTCTGAGTGGGTTTAAGCGTACCAGAAATTTGGGACGCTACCTTGGAGCGATGATGCAGCATGGAAGGGTCTCCAAAGCCCTTTTCAATGATATTGTTGATAAGGTGAAGTCAAAAATGCAAGG